CATCAGCATCAGCGTCATCCGTGGCTGCAGCCTGGACTTCCGGCTGGCGCTCCCGGCTCTCCCACACCAGGCCAAACCCATCCCGACCTCGCGCCCCTGCTCGCGGGGTTCTCCCGGCAGACACGCCCCTGCTCCCCTGCCCACACCTGTCCCCCAGCCTCCAGGCCACCGGTTCTCAGCCAGGGCGGCCCCTGGCTCACCTGGCAGCTTTCAGAACCGGGAGTGACCACGTCCTGCCCCAGAGCCCGCCGTGGGGCCCAGGCACAGCCCCCCGGAGGGTCCCCCATTCTGACAGCCCCCCAGATGGTCCCTAGCTCTTCCCCGAGGTGCCCTGCACCACTCAGCATTGGTGGCCACACCCACAGAAGCTGCCCCTGCACCCAGGCCTGCCTCTCGCGTTCAGGCGCCTGAGGGACTCATAGGGGCACAAAGGCGAGCCAAGAGCACCCCACACACGTTGGGGCGACCCCTCCCAAACCAGCCTGGGGCCCACTCACCAGGCTTTCCCAGACCTACCCCCCCCACTAGGACCCCGACACCCAGGGCTAGCAGTGGCCTCCTCTACCTGGAAAACGCCTGGCGGTTGCTATGGCGGCTGTTGCCCGTGGCAACGTTGGCGTTGGCGTTGTTGGTGTTGGCGCGGGCCAGCGCCAGCGGGTGGGTGCTGGGGTCCTGCGGGAAGTCCTCCAGGAAGACGGGCGACTCCAGCTCCTCCATCTCGATGTCGGAGAACTGCAGGGGCCTCTGGTTGGCCAGCACAGGCGCCAGGGAGCTGGGCCTGTCCAGGAAGTTGTCCACTTGGCCGAACAGGCCCCCGGTCCTCTAGGGGCGGGAGGAGGGAGGGAGGACTGAGCGCGGGCGGGGCGAGGGCTGGGGGGGAGCTGACTTGCTGAGGGATATTGGACATCGCAGGTCCCCTCCTGCGTCACCATCTCCTTAAGGAGACCCCCAGAAGGGCCCGGCCGGCCTGGCTCAGCGGTTGAGCATCGACCTAGGAACCAGGAGGTCACGGTTCGATTCCCGGTCAGGGCACATGCCCGGGTTTCGGGCTTGATCCCCAGTAGGTGGCATGCAGGAGGCAGCTGATCTATGATGCTCTCTCATCATTGATATTTCTCTCTCCCTCTCCCTTCCTCTCTGAAATCAATAATAATAATAAAAAGAACCCAATGCCCTAGCTGGTTTGGCTCAATGGATAGAGCATCTGCCTGTGGACTGAAGGGTCCTGGGTTCAATTCTGGTCAAGGGCACAGGCCCGGGTTGTGGGCTTGATCCCCAGTGTGGGGCGTGCAGGAGGCAGCCGATCCGTGATGCTCTCTCATCATTGATGTTTCTCTCTCTCTCTCCCTCTCCCTTCCTCTCTGACATCAATCATAATAAAGAAGAACCCAGGGAGGTTTTGCCAGGCGGTCTTTAAGGGGCCATGGGACACTGGACAGAGCTGAGGCTCGAGCACAGGTGACCAGGGCAGGTGGGCATCTGACCACGGAGGGCTCGCGAGAGACGAGGGTTGACAGGGGCTGGGGCGGGAGGAAAGGGCGAGACTTGGTGGGGCGGGCAGGTGGGGAAGGAAGTGTTTTGTTATATTTATTCCCTCGAGGAAGTTGGGTCATGGATTCTGAGTCCTCGGAGCTGTGGGTGGTGGGCGTCTCCGGCTTCCACACCCCCCTCCTGTGGGCCCTCCCGTCCGTGATAGGTGGCTGCCCCGCCCCCGCTCACCCGGAATATCCCCTCCTCCATGGCGGCCTCCACCATGGCCCGCTCCAGCTCCTCCTCGGCCGTGAGGTCTCCCGAGATGGTCCGGCGGATCTCGGGCGCGGCCTCCTCCTCTATGGTCCGCAGTCCGGCCTGGGGATGGAGAAGGGACCCCCTGACCCCTCCGATCTGGGAGGGGGACCCGACGACACCCCATGGCCTCCCTCGTTTCTAACCCTTGCAACGGGGGCTTCGGCTCCGGCCCCACCCTCTCTCCCTCGCCCTTCCTCTCGGAAATCAAATAAAAACCTGCTTTTTTTAAAAAAAAGGTTCTTGCATTATATGTGTGCAACTTTCAAAATTATAAGATTGTTTCAAACTAAAAAAAAATTGCTATAGAAATATATTTATGGGCACACAACCCACGGGCATGTGTATTTTTTGAATTTATAAATTATGTGCATTATAATGGACACCAAGGACTAGAAACAGCCCGGCCAGCGTGGCTCCGTGGTTGAGCGTCGACCTAGAAACCAGGAGGTCAGGGTTCGATTCCCGCTCAGGGCACAGGCCCGGGTTGCAGGCTCCATCCCCAGTGTGGGGCGTGCAGGAGGCAGCTGGTCCATGAGAATATTGCTTTCATCCACCTCCTACCTCCCCTTTGGACAAGCCCTGTCACCCAGAGATGGACCAGCTCCTGGGTCTTCTCTTCAGATTGGAACGTCTCCAATCACGGCCCCCCCCACCCCCCCGGAATTGCGCCTCCATCCCTGGCCCTCAAGGATGCGGAGAGCGAGCAGCCCAAGACCCAGCTCAGTGGCGGGGCCCCGAGACCCGAGATCGGCCCGAGACCCGGCTCAGCCACAGGCCCGGAGCCGCCGGCTCACCTGGATCTGCACGGTGTCCTTCTTGGGCCGGTAGCCGTAATACTCCTCCTGGCGCTTCATGAACTTTCGGAAGTGCTCCTGGATGAGGAACGTTGCGTAGAACTTGCCCACCGTCACCTCGTCGTCTGTGGGGGGCCGACAAGGGGTGTCCTGAAGGCCGGGGAGAGCCGGAGGGCGGGGGAGCCCCAGGTCGGGGCAGAGGAGCCACCCCTCCTGTCTCTGACCTGGCCTGAGGCCGCCATGGGGTCTGTCCAAGGTATTTAGGGAGGGTCTGGGCCATCCCCAGGCGCGCACTCTCCTCTCTCTCTCTCTCTCTCTCTCTCTCTCTCTCTCTCTCAATTCTCTCCAGGCCTGGAACCCCTTTCTTGGGCTTTGCTTGAGCTGGTTGGGGGCTCTTGGGCCGTATTAATAGAGGTAGAGGGTATGGACCGAGGGAGGTGAAAGTTCACCTAGGACCTGCCTCGTGGTTGTCGTGCGAGGGGTCGCTTCTGCGTGAGCAGGTGTAGGAGTGGGGAACCCGGCGCCTTGCCGGGCACTCAGAGTGTGGCCACCTGACCCACAGCCCCTCCTCAGCTGCCCCCCGGACCCCGGTCCCCGAGCCCCACGCACCTCCGATCGGAGGGATGACCTGGTCCAGGAGCTTCATGCTGGTCCTCTTCCAGATCTTCTTGATGATGGCCCGCAGCTCCTCGTTGGCCTGCTCGAAGTTACCTAGGCGGAGGGGCAGGCAGGGATGGCCCTGAAGCCACCCAGCTGGGCTGAGCCAACCCCGCTGGACACAGCCGCCTGGGGCTCTGCCACCCTCTCACCTTCTCTCTCTCTCTCTCTTTTTTTTAAAATATATTTTTATTGATTTCAGAGAGGAAGGGAGAGGGACAGAGAGATAGAAACATCCACGATGAGAGAGAATCATGGACCGGCTGCCTCCTGCACGCCCCACACTGGGGATGGAGCCTGCAACCCGGGCCTGTGCCCTTGACCGGGAATCGAACCGTGACCTCCTGGTTCCTAGGTTGACGCTCAACCATGAGCCACGCCGGGCGGCCAGGCTCACCTTCCGTCTTGATCTTGAGGGCCGTGCGCACCAGGGCGAAGAGGGTGGCGTTGAAGGTGACGGTGCCGTCACTGTTGAGGGGCATGTTCATGCCCACCAGTCGCTGTGCGGGGAGAGGGGGGGTTCGCTGTGGGGCGGGACCCGGCCAAACCGAGCAGGTCACCGTCACCCGGTGGGTCTGGGGGGCCAGGAGGGGCCAGGACATGAGGGCTGGGGGGCAGGACGCCCTTCACGGGGGTGGGGGATGGAAGAATGAGTTGGGGGCGTTGTCAAGACTGTAGGTCCTGGGGGGGGGGCCTGGGAGATGACCGCTCTGAAGTGGCTCTCCAGCTCCCCGCCCCCCAACCTGTGCCTCTGCCTGTCCCCGGGGCCCCTCCCTGGCGCCGGGGTTACCTTACACGCCACGCGGTGGGGGCAGAACTTCCCGAAGCCGAGCGGAGGCTGGATCCGCCGCAGCAGCGTCACCACATCCAGGTGTTTGATGCGGCCCCTGCGGGAGACACGGCTGTACCCCTGGCGGCAGCCCACAGCCCCTCCCGGCTCAGGCTCAGGGAACGGCTCGGGGAAGAGGCGGGACAGGCGAGCGCGGCCTTATTTCCCAGCCAGGCTTAGGACGGGGAGCCAGCCTTCCTTCTTGATTTTTTAAAATATGTTTTCATTAATTTTTTTTTTTTTTAGAGAGAGAGAATCATCATCCATCGGCTGCCTCCTGCACGCCCCCTGCTGGGGACCGAGTCTGAAACCCTGACCTGTTCATAGGTCGACGCTCAACCACTGAGCCACACCGGCTGGGCCACCAGCTCCTCTCTCTCTCTCTCTCTCTCTCTCTCTCTCTCTCAGAAGCCAGAATTCTCTCTCTCTCTCCAGGCCTGGGATCTGGACCTCGTTTTCCTTGCGGCAGAGCCTTCTTTGGCCTTTGGTCCAGCTGGTTGGGGCTCTTGGGCTGTATTAATAGAAGCAGAGGGTCTGGGTCCAGGGAGGTGGAAGTTCACCTACGTGTGACCCGTCTCCTAGGTCGCTGTTAAATGAGATAATACACGCAGGGGCCAGCGCAGTGCCTGTCGCCTGGGGAACAGCCCTCAAACATGGACTGTGGCGAGGCAGAGCTGGCCCGGTCTCTCTGGGTGGGGCCGGGTTCTGCCTTTTTATCAAAACTGATGGTCAGGCCCTGGCTGGTTTGGCTCCGTGGATAGAGCGTCGGCCTGCGGACTGAAGGGTCCCGGGTTCGATTCCGGTCAAGGGCATGTACCTTGGTTGCGGGCACATCCCCAGTAGGGGGTGTGCAGGGGGCAGCTGATCGATGTTTCTCTCTCATCGATGTTTCTAACTCTCTCTCTCCCTTCCTCTCTGTAAAAAATCAATAAAATATATTTAAAAATACACACACACACACAAACTGATGGTCAGATGGCCACACTCTGAGAGCCTGGTCCGGTACTGAGCTCCCCGCTCCTACCCCTGTCCACTCAGACCCTGGGTGGCCATTTCCCAAGAAAGCCAGGAGGGGGCACTGTGGGGTCCCTTCCGACCCCCGGGAAGTCCCGTTCTCTGAGCCGGGACCTCAGATGTTGAAGGGACAGGCAGCCGGCTCGTTCCTAGCAAACCCGGACGCCAGGACGGGGTCTGAGATGGCGGGCGCACAGGCGAGGGAGGGCCGGCGTCTGCGGCCTGAACTCACGTGGCCTCGGGGTCGTACTCGGCCCAGATGGCCTTGAACTCGTCCAGGTGGTGCGGGCCCAGGATGGACCAGTCCCGTGTGAGGTAGTCGAAGTTGTCCATGATGACCGCCACGAACAGGTTGATGATCTGTAAGGGGGGACCCAGGGCCCCGACACAGAAGGGGACCAGGTGGGGGCTGGGAGGGGGTTGGAGCTGATGGTGGCCTCGGGGTACTCGGCCCAGATGGCCTTGAACTCGTCCAGGTGGTGCGGGCCCAGGATGGACCAGTCCCGTGTGAGGTAGTCGAAGTAGTTGTTGATGACCGCCACGAACAGGTTGATGATCTGTAAGGGGGGACCCAGGGCCCCGACACAGAAGGGGACCAGGTGGGGGCTGGGAGGGGGTTGGAGCTGATG